CCGGCTCTGGGATCTGGGTTGGGCCAGCCTACGGGGTCCACCGGCAGCGTCACGCAGGCCAGGCACTTTTCACCAATCCCGCCCTAGAGGGGAATGTGTGGCTGGAGTCGCCACCGCGCCCTGCTCCCGCAGGACTGCTTGGGCCCAGAAAGTCTGCTGGAGTCAAACTGTGGTGGAGTGTCAGTTTCTTTCACTCACCTCGCCACAAGTCAGAACATGCCTCCCTGCCCGTCCTGTTGTCGACTCCGTTCGCAGACTCCCGTTCTCAGAGTTTCCGTGCGTCTCTCTCCTTGCCGAGCCGATGTAGAGGCAGCCAGCCACCACGCGGCGGGAAACCCAAATGGCGTGGGGTCCAGCCTCATCAGCGAGGCTTTTCTGTTCCTGTTTTAGCACCAGGACTGCATTCCAAGTTGGTTTCTCTCAGCCGAGTTCGTTCCTGAGTCAGCAGAGCATAACTCCACCTGCTTATGTCTCTTTAGTCCGCACCATACCTGGCTTCTGAGCCTAGTTTTCAGAGAGCCTCCAGTAGTTGCTGTTATCTGTCCGCCATGTTCTCCCGGAAGTCCCGATACTCTATTTTTGAATCATGTACTATGCCCATCCTTCTGTTCTAACCAACTCTGTTTTGTTTAGTCATCTTAAGATTTATTCTCTTCAAAAAATGTAATAAGAATTGTGGGAGTAAAAAAACTCAAAAAGTGTAATTGTTATTGTGAAAAAGAGGAAAGGAAGGTGGTGTAAGGGATATAACTTCATGCTTGAGTGTGTAGGATGGAAAAACATATTACTGAGCTTTTGTTGGATCACTGAACATAACTTTCTGCAATCTCACTATATGAATGTCCACTTTCTATGCTTTAATTTTATAATTTGGACAACTGTTTCTAAGGTGACAATATGTAACCTATTAACTAGTGAGTTCTTACTGTATATTTCTTTAAATTCTGCATTACTTGTACCCTTTTACTCCTTTGTTTTTATTTCTTTTTTCTCTTTAATTAAAAAATAATCAATCCTGGAATGGATATCTTTTATTTATTTAATTTTTTGGCACTTGAGATCAAAATCATGACCTCACACTTGCCAGGCAGGTGCTTAAGCCACTGAGCTAAGTCCACAGCCCACCAATTGATATGTTTTACATCTTGTCCTCTTCAGAGTAGTTGCCTCTACTCTTACACTTGATACCAGCAAGCATACCAAATGTGAATAAAATCAGTCACGGCCAAATAACATTCAAACAAACCAGCTTCAAAGAAGATCAGTCATAGAAGACAATGTAAGTAATATAGGGATTCAGTTTTAGTTAATGGAAACTAAGGACAGTTACCATGGTATAACCTGCTATTTTTTGTTATCTCTCTGTGCCCTCAAATCTGAGTAGACAGACCAGAACAAAATATAACCAAACTAAACAGAGCAACAAGACTACTGTAGCTTTTAAATCCTGATACACTTTTAACAATGTCCACTGCCTTCCTTTTTTAGGCAATTCCTCACCTTTCTCCTTCTCAGGATACTATTATTCACTGTTCAGAGTGATATTAGTCTAGTCTCTCATGTTCAATTTCAGCACACATAAAGACAAAGACAGCTAAAGAGAATGAGAGACATTATGGTAGTCATTATCGACTTCCCCAAAATCAGTCTTGAAGACCGAAAAAGCCTGCATCATCCTGCAATTATTTGATTAGTTTTATAATATTTGGTGTACATTCAATGTGTGTGAAGATGGGAACAACTATTTGGAAGAAAACTAGACACAGTAAGATAGACAGTGAACATCTCCAGTGGACTTGCTTTGAAATCTGTGTTTCCTTATCTTGTTTCCTAATGAACTGTTCTGTTCTGTTTTGTCATGTTTAATCTTACCCTCTTTATTAAAAAAAGTGTGTAGGACAGATAGGCATATTAATAACTTTTTGTTGGATCACTGAGGTGAACTGTCGACAGTGTCATTAATTGAATATCACTTTGTATGCTTTAAATTTGTAACTTGAACAACTACTTCTAAGATGACGATACGAAACTAATCAACTAGTGATTTCTTATTGTTTATTTTTCTGAAATTCTGTATTATTTCTACACTTTTATCTTTAAATAAACATTACAATTCACCAAAAAATATGAAATTTAAGTTTTAAAGACAAAATATTAAGTACACAGGCACTATCCATATTTGAAAGTGAAAAGCTCATTTCAGTTTGGCATGTTTAATTACAAGATGCCATGTTGAAGCACAAAAACACTTTAAAAAATCTAGAGAGTTACAAGGAATTAACTGAAAATCATACAACATATGCAATTGAGTAGAGCTCCACCTCAGATTTGTCATTTGTGGAATATTTGTGAAGAAATATTGACATCTAACTTCTGTATTGATTATTTCTTCAGGTCTCCTTGGGATTTTTAAAGTAAACTTGGATCTAAACTGTCTGAACAGTGATTCTTTTTCTATGTATTTAACAAGAAACATGGATTGCCATATTTCTCACATTGTTAACCCGCATAGGATCTTTGCCCAGTGAGCTCTTTCAGATATGTAACAATGATCATGTGTGCTGAGAGTATTCCCATAACACATAGGATTTATCTATTTTGTGAGTTTTTTCACGTATTTCACTTACAATCTGGCTGATGAAGTGTCTCCACTTGCTTACATAGCCAGTGGTTCTTCCCAGTGTGAATTCTTTCATGTGTTTTGCAATGACTGTATGGGGTAAAAGCTTTGCCACATTGTTATATACATAGGGTTTCTTTACCAGTGTGAAGTCATGGATGTATTTTACAATATCCATGTGTGGTGAAAGCTTTCCCACATTCTTCACATACACAGGGTTTCTCAACACTGCAAATTTTTCATGTATTGGACAATGAGCATTTCTGCTGAAACCTTTCCCTCATTCCTTACATATGTAAGTTTTCTGCCCAGTGTGAAGATTTTCATGCATCATGCAATATGTACGTGTGCTGAAACCATTCTCATGATGCCTATATACACTGGTTTTATCTTGAGTGTGAACAATCATATTGCTTATAATGTCGATGTAGGGTAAAAACTTTCCCACATTGCTTACATACATAGGGTTTCTCTCCAATGTGAATTCTTTCATGCTTCCAACAATCTCCCTGTGTTTTAAAAGCTTTCCCACATTGCTTACATACAGAGTGTCTCTCCAGTGTGAATACTTTCATGTTCCTTACAATTTGCATGTGTGATAAAAGCTTTTCCACATTGCTTACATACATATGGTTTCTATCCAGTGTGAATTCTTTCATGTATCTTCCAATCACCCCATGTGATAAAAGCTTTCCCACATTGCTTACAAATATATGGTTTCTTTCCAGTGTGAATTCTTTCATGTTTCTTACAATCTCCCTGTGTTTTAAAAGTTTTACCACATTGCTTACATACATAGGGTTTCTCTCCAGTGTGAATTCTTTCATGAACCTTACAATTTGCATGTCTGTTAAAAGCTTTCCCACATTTCTTACATACATATGGTTTCTTCCCAGTGTGAACGTTTCATGTTGCTTACAATGTCCAGATCTGGTGAATCCTTTTCCACACTGCTGATATACATGGGGTTTCTCTCCATTGTGAATTCTTTCATGTTTCTTACAATCTCCCTGTGTTTTAAAAGCTTTCCGACATTGCTTACATACATAAGGTTTCTCTCCAGTGTGAATTCTTTCATGTTCCTTACAGGTTGGATGAAACCTTTTCCACATTGCTTACACACATAGGGTTTCTCTGCAATGTGAAGATTTGCATGTGTTTGAAAATGAATTTTACTGCTAAAATCTTTCCCACGTTTCTTACATATATGCAATTTCTGCCCAGTGTGAAGTTTTTCACGGATTACACAATAAGTACATGTGCTGAAAGCTTTCTCACAGTGCTTACATTCATAACATTTTTCTCTGGAGTGAAGACTTTCATGTACTTGACAATATGCACGTGTTGTAAATGCTTTCCCACACTGATTACATATGTAGGGTCTCTCTCCTCTGTGAATTCTTTCATGTTTCTTACAAATTCCATGTATAGTAAAACCTTTCCCGCATTGATTGCATACATAGGATTTCCCTCCACTGCAATATTTTTATGGATCTGAACATTGTGGTGTGTTTCTGTTTCTTTCACATTCACATTACCTTCTGCAGTACAAAGGAATACTTCTTTACACTGATTCCAAGATGTATGTCCATAGTATTTCCCTAGCTTGTCATTTCTGTAAAGAAAAATACAGGATTCATATATAGGATTTATAACCATATTACTAAGTTTTTGTTGGAGAGTTGAACAAAACTGCTTGCAGTCTCGCTGATTGAATCCCCACTCTGTATGTTTCACTTTTGTATTTCATAACTATTTCTATGAGCAGCATATGTAATCATCATCTTGCGATTTCTTACTGTTTATTTTCACTTTGAAAATAGTATTATTTCTACTTATTTTGTTTAGTTTAATCTTTTCTTATATTAAATTTAAAAAAGAACAATTCACAGTGAAATGGGTCTCCGTTTAATGACTGCATTAATGTCAAGTTCTGCTTTTAATGCCTGCTAAGAAATTCAGACCATGAAGCTACAGAATGGACTTGTAAGATATGTTGAAAACAACCATTCCCAAAAGACTGGTACACATTTGGAAATCTTAAAATTGGTACTTTAAAATTCAGAATCTTTAGCTTCACTTTGGGCATGGGTACATATGTGTATCATATATAGATTATTCTGATATGTTTCCCCATCACAATGTCCCTTCTGTCCTTAACCTGTAGTTCCCTTTTCCATATGGTCAGTCTTACTTTTCCCTATCAACTCTCTTTCATTTCATTCCACAATTTATATTTTGGTTTCTCATCTAAAAGAAACCCTGTGACCTTTTAGGTTTTATAGCTGAGCTATTTCACTGAATTGATGGGTGAAAGACCCATCTATCTCTTATGTCAAATGAAATTGTATTTTTATGTTTTGACATTATATAACACATATTTTTCTTTTCTGGGCTGGAAATGAACAACAGGTATGAGCATAAAATCTATAGCTTTTTAAAAATCTATTTTAAGAGATTTTCACGGATAATTAAGCTGTGAAGTTTGAACTTGAATTTGCCATTCTGCAAAATCTGATTCCTCGTATGTTGGGTTTAGAAAAATGCACAATCACAGTGAGTCTATTAACATTTTCCTTCTCCACACGTCCAGTGATAGATAGCTAAGCTTCAAGGCCTGATCTGTTATAACTTGATCTGCTTTGTATATGAGTAAGCATGTATCAGTATTTTATGCAGATTTGAGATTTTAAAAATATCCAGGACAAGTATCAGGGGATCAATTTCTAGAGACAACTGCATACTGATATTCAAAATGAGTGCACTAACATTCCACCAGCCTACTAAGAATATTAATCAGAATCGCTGATTGTCTAGAGCATGGCTTGGAAACATGAGCACTCAGTTTTATTTCAAATTCTATTGCAATCTTAGCAATTGTTAGATAATGAATGTGCATAGAAGAAAACACATTCCACATAACTGAAGTACCTGAAATAATAGTAACTGAAATAAAGAAGCAACATTGGGAAGCATCAAAGAAATTCAAACTAGAAATAATCTTGTAGGTAAAAAAAAAAAAAAAAGAAATGAAGGAGATTCTGAACATATCTAAAGAAGACACAGTTAAAAAATTGGAGGAACTAAACAAAAAGATAGAATCCCTGGATGAACTCTAGAAGAAACAAACAGAATACATAAAGCAGATGCAAAGTGATATACAGGAAATCAAAAACTCCATTGAACATTGTAAAAACTGCCTCAATGAATGTGAAGATACAATCTCAGACCTCGAAGACAAGATTGCAGCTAGTGAACAGGAAAGGAAAGATGTTTTTAAAATAACAAGAAATCACGAAATAACTATTCAACACCTGCAAGATGACGCAAAGCAGAACAACATTAGGTTGATAGGGATAAATGAAAAAGAAGGGGGACAACATAAAGGATATCAAGAGGATATTTAGAGAAGTAATAGCTGAAAATTTCCCAAACACGAGATTGGAAACTGATATCAAGATCAATGAAGCATATAGAAATCCAAATAGTCATAACCAAAATAAATCTACACCCAGACATATAATAATGACCATCCCAGAAATTGAGCAAAAGAATAGAATATTAAAAGCTGTCAAAGAGAAGAGACAGATCACCTATAAAGGAAAATGTATCAGAATCACAGCAGACTTCTCAGCAAAAACAATAAAGTCAAGAAGAGCATGCAATGAAGTATTTCAGATCCTAAAGGAAAATGATTGCCAACCTAGACTGATGTACCCTGAAAAACTGTCCTTCAAAATCAAAGGAGAAATAAGATTCTTCTATGACAAAGAAAAGCTGAAAAACTTCATGATCACCAAGCCAACCCTGCAAAGAATACTGAAAGACAGCCTAGATACATTTAGGAAAAAACCTCTAAACCAAACAGAAAGTTAAAAAGAGCAGAAAGATAAAGATGCAACAGCAGAAAGATAACATGTCAACAATAAACCAATATATAACAGCTCTAACCATTAATGTAAATGGTCTCAATGGACCAATAAAGGAAACCAACGGGCAGAATGGATTAAGAAACAAAATCCAACCATATGCTGTCTACAAGAAACCTATCTAAATCCAAAAGGATACTCGCAGACTGAAAGCCAAAGGATGGAAAACAATATTTCATGCAACAGGAACCAAAAACATAACAAAACAAAACAAGCAAATAAACAAAAAAACAGAGGTAGCTATTCTGTTTGCAGACAATGTGAACTTCAAGCCAATAATGATCAGAAGGGATGAAGAAGGTCACTAAACACTGCTTAGAGGAAAACTCCAAGAGGAAGAGAAAACTATCTTAAATTTATATGCACCAAACTCCAGAGCACCCAATTATATAAAGCAAGTACTAACAAAAATGAAAAATCAAATTAGCACTAACACAATTCTAACAGGAGATATTAACATATCAGTGACACCAATGGACAGATCAACCAGACAGAAAATGAGCAAATAAATAAAAGAACTAAATCGCACCTGTGAATAAATGGACTTAATAGACATATACAGAGTACTCTACCCAACAACAACAGAATACACATTCTTCTCAGTATTACATGGGTCATTTTCTGAAATAGACCACATATTAATTCACAGAGCATATTTAAATAAATGCAAAATGGTTGAAATTATCCCTTGCATGCTACCAGACCATACTACAATGAAATTAGAAATTAATAATAAAAGATACTGCAAAATTCCCACAAACACATGGAAACTGAATAACACTCTTGAGTATTCAATGAGTCACAGAGGAAATTAAAGCAGAAATTAAACAATACCTACAAAGAAATGAAAAAACTAATACAACATACCAGAATCAATGTGATGTAATGAAAGCTGTCCTCTGAGGAAAATTTATGGCACGAGTTCCCACATTAGGAAAACAGAATGAATAGAAATATATAACCTGATGTTATACCTCAAATATCTAGAAAAAGAAGAGCAAGTCAAGCCCAAAGCCAAAAGAAAAGAAGAAATTATAGAAATCAATGCAATAGAGACCAAAAAAAAAAAAAAATCCAAAAAATCAATGAATCAAAGACTTGGTTCTTTGAAAGAATAAATAAAATCGAAGAGCCACTAGCCAACCTTATTTTAAAAACGGAAGAAAATGTTCAAATGCATGCAATAAGGAATAAAAGAGGTGAAATTACTACAGACCCTATTGAAATACAGAAGATCAAAAACACCTATTTCGAAAACCTCTACTTTCAAAGGTTTTATAACACAGAGGAAATAGACAGATATCTAAAGCATATGAAGTACCATAGCTAGGTCATGAAGATGTAAATCTACAGAATAACTCAAATTCTATTAATGAAATTGAAAACATAATAAAATCGTTACCTACAATGAAGAGCCCAGGCCCAGACGGATTCACTGAAGAATTCTACAAGAAATATAAAGAAGACCTAATGCCAACACTCTGTAAACTCTTCAATGAAATGGAAAGGGAAGCAATCCTTCATAAATTGTTCCTAGAAGCAAATATTACTGTAGTACAAAAACCAGAGGAGGAACCAACTGAAAAAAAGAACTACAGAACAATCTCCCTAATGAACAAGGATGCAAAAATCCTCAATAAAATACTGGCAAATAGGATGGAGCAAATCAACAAGAAGATCATTTATCAGGACCAAGGGGGATTCATCCCAAGCATACTGAGATTGTTTAATATATGTAAATAAATAAATGTAATGCACCATATCAATAGAGCCAGAAGTTATAATCACATGATCATTAATATAGATGCAGAAAAAGCTTTTGATAAGGTCCAACATTCATTTATGATAAGAACCTTGCAGAAAATTGGAATAGATGGTCCTTACCTCAATATAATTAAGGCCAGCAATGACAAAACAGCCAGTACCATACGAAATGGTAAAAAATTGAAGGCCTTTACTTTAAATCAGGCACAAGACAAGGATGTCCCTTATCACAGCTCCTATTTAATATAGTACTGAAAATAATGGGCAGAGCAATTAGACAAGACAGAAACATAAAAGGCGTAAAGATAGGAAAAGAAGAAGTTAAATGATCAGTATTTGCAGATGACATGATACATTATATAGAAGATCCCTGAAGCTCCATTGAAAGACTCCTAGATATATTAATTCAGTAATGTAGCTGGATACAGAATCAATACTCAAAAATCAATAGTATTTCTATACACTAACAACAAAGTCACACAGACAGAAATAAGAGAGGCCACACCCTTCACACTAGCAAACAAAAAAATGAAATATTTAGTAATTACTCTCACGAAAGAAGTGAAAGACCTATACAGGGAAAATTATAACACACTGAAAAATGAAATTGAAGATGATCTCAGAAAATGGAAAGACATCCCTTGCTCATGAATAGGAAGAATAAATATTGTGAAAATGGCCATTCTCCCAAAACTTTTATTCAGATGCAATGCAATTCTGATAAAAATACCATCAACATACCTCATAGAACTTGAGAAATCACCCCTAAAATCATCTGGAATAAGAAGAAACCAAGAATAGCAAGGACAATTAGAAGCAGCAAAAGCAAGGCAGGAGGTACCACAATCCCTGACTTGAAGTTATACTACAAAGCAACTGTAGTACAATCAACATGGGCCTGGAATTGAAACAGAGCCGAAGATCAGTGGAATAGATGAGAAGATACAACCACCACTACAAACACACTCAACTCCCTTATCTTTGATAAATGGGCCAAACATGTTCACTGGAAGAATGACATTCTATTTAATAAATGGTGGTGAAAAACTGGCTCTCCATATGCCTAAAACTAAAACTAGACCCATGCCTATCACCATGTACTAAAATAAAATCTAAATGGATCAAAGATGTAAATATTAACAGAAACACTAAATCTATTGGAAGACAAATTGGGTAAAAACCTTGAAGAATAGGAGTAGGTAGAGAATTGATGAACAGGACTCAAACCTCATAGGAAATGCTTCCCAGAATCAATCATTGGGATCACCTCTTATTAAAAAGTTTCTGCACATCAAAAGAAATCTCCAGTATAGTGAAAAGAAAACCCACAAACTGGGAAAATGTCTTAGTGAACTGGCCCACAGACAGAGGACTTCTATCTAAAACATATAAAGCATTTTAAAAAATGAGTCCGCCAAAATTCATAGACCCAATCCAAAAATGAGCATCTGAGATGAATAAACAATTTTGAGATGAAGAAGTACAAATGACAAATAAATACATGAAAAAATGTTCACCATCAATGGTCATTAGAGAAATACAAATTAAAACCACATTCAAATTTCATCTCACTCCTGAAAGAATGGCCAAGACCAAGAAAACCACCAACAACAAATGTTGGAGACGCTGTTGGGAAAAAGGAACTCTTCTGCACTGTTTGTGGGACTGTAGACTGGTGCAACCATTGTGGAGATCAGTCTGGAGATTTATCAGAAACTTGGGACTGGAAGCACCTTTTGACCCAGCTCTTCTACTTCTAGGTGTATTCACCGAGGAACTGAAAGCATCATTCAACAGTGATATATGTGCACCCATTTTTATAGCAGCACAATTTATAACAGCCAGATCTTGGAAACAACCTAAGTATTCATCAACTGAGGAATGGATAAAAAAGTTATGGTGCTTTTATACAATAGAGTACTAGTCAGCTATAAAGAATAATCACATTGACATATAAATAAATGGATGCAGATTGAGACCATATTAAGAAGTGAAATAAATCAAACTCAAATGTATAAATACCAAATATATTCCCTAGTATAAGAAATGATAATACATAGAAGTATGTGGTAATCATGATACCCAATCATATTGGTTTGAATCCATATAATGTTTTTACTCACTAAGTGCAATGGTTTTATCCTGGGTTTCTCGATTTTAGTATCGAGGATAGTATGAATAGCTATTCTGAAGAAAATAACACATCATAAAAGCTAGTGCTGATTTAATATCTTCATTGGAACTCCCATCAAGCTGTTGTACATATTTCCACTGGTTTTACCATGTTGTGTCTTAATATATTTTACTGTATGTGATAGTATAAATAAAAATTTTTACAGGCAAAGAGATTATATAGAAATCGTTGTTCATTTTCTGTTAACTGGCTCTAAATACCCTGTAATTCTTTCATACCCTTGAATGGCTTCACACTGTCTTGATATGATTGATTCTATAGTATACGAACTTATACTCAAATAATTCAAGGAAAGAGGCACTATGGTGACTACTATTATGTTAGATTATCTGGTGGTGAAACAAAATGATGCTTTACTTGTTCAGTTCTGACCTGTGTTGTTCTATTACAATGTCTTTTTTATCTCGATATACACCCTTTTTAAAAAAAAAATTATACTATTTTTTATTTTTTTGTATTAAAGGAAAACTAAATTAAAAAATAGCGGGATATATTATAGTAACTATTTGTTTTCCTATTAACCTGATTTGAACCCCAGTATTGCTCTCCCCATCTTGTTCTGCCTGATTTTACTATATTCTATTTTGTTTGATAGTATCAAGTTTGAGGGTAGAGGCAACCACTTTAAAGGCAATAAGATTTAATATGATGCCCATTATGATTTGACTATTATCTTCTTTTGAAATCCTGTAAGGTCTCCAGTGTAGATTTTATTGGTCTTGTTCTGTACTGTTTTGATCTATTCTATTATAACTGATGATATAGCAACTCTTTTGAGGCACAATGGTAACCATTTTTGATCAGCTGATATTCTATTTTTGATTCAAGTACTATGCCCATCCTTATGTTCTAACCAAATCTGTTTTGTTAACTCACTTGAGGTTTTATTCTCTTCAAAAAAAAGTAGTAAGAACTATGGGAGTAAAAAAAACTCAAAAGTGTAATTGTTATTGTGAAGAAGAGAGGAAAGGAAGGTGGTCTAAAGGATATAAGTGCCTGTTTGAGTGTGTAGGAAGGAAAACCATATTACTGAGCTTTTGTTGGATCATTGAACAGAACTGTCTGCAATCTCGCTGTATTAATGTTCACTTTAGATGCTTTAATTTTATAATTTGGACAACTGTTTCAAAGAAGACAATATATAACCTATTAACTAGTGATTTCTTACTGTATTTTTTTTCTTGAAATTCTGTATTATTTGTACCCTTTTACTGCTTTGTTTTTTTATGTTCTTTTTTTCTCTTTAAATAAAAAAATTAAACCTGGAATTTATATCTTTTATTTATTTAATTTTTTTTTTTTTTTTTTTTGGTACTGGGGATCAAACTGGAAAGCTCACACTTGCCAGGCAGGGGCTTAAGCCACTGAGCTAAATCCCCAGCCCCACAATATATATCTGTCACATCTTATCATCTTCAGAGTAGTTGCCTCTACTGTTGGACTTGATACCAGCAAGCATACCAAATGTGAATAAAATCAGTCAAGGCCAAATAACATTCAAACAAGCTTCAAATAACATCAGTCATCGTAAGACAGTGTAAGTAATATAGAGTTTCAGTTTTAGTTAATAGAAAATTAAGGACAGATACCATCATAGTATAACCTTCTATTTTTGGGTTATCTCTCTGTGCCCTCAAATCTAATGAGTAGACAGACCACAAAAAAATATAATCAAACTAAACAGAGCAACAGAACTACTGTAGCTTTTAAATCCTGACACACTTTTAACAATGTCCTCTGCCTTCTTTTTTTAGGCAATTCCTCACCTTTCTCCTTCTAAGGATACTATTATTCACTCTTCAGAGTGATATTGGTTTAGTCTCTTATGTTCAATTTCAGCATACACAAAAATAAAGACGTCAACTACGAACAGAATGAGACACATTATGGTAATCATTATCAACTTCCCCAAAATCAGTCTTGAAAATCAAAAAAGTGTGCATCATCCTGTAATTATTTGATTAGTTCTATAATGTTCAGTATATATTCAATGCATGTGAAGATGGGAACAAATATTTTGAGGAAAACTAGAGACAGTAAGATAGAAAATGAACATCTCAGTGGACTTGATGTGAAACCTGTGTTTCCTTAACTTATTTCCTTGTGAACTGTTCTGTTTTGTCATGTTTAGTCTTACCATCTTTAAGATAAAAAACAAGTCTGTACAACAGATAAGCATATTAATAAGTTCCTGTTGGATCACGGAGGTGAACTGTTCACAGTGACATTATTTGAATATCATTTTGTATGCTTTAATTTTGTGACTTGAACAATTACTTCTAAGATAACAATATGTAACTAATCAACTAGTGATTTCTTATTGTTTATTTTTCAGAATTTCTGTATTATTTTTACACTTTTTGGGTTTTTTTTCCTTTAAATAAAAATAATTCATTAAAAAATATAAAAATTAAGTTTTAAAGACAAAATATTAAGTACATAGACACTATTCATACTTGAAAGTGAAAAGCCCATTTGAGTTTACCATGTTTAATTACAAGATGTCATGTTGAAGCACAAAGACACTTTAAAAAATCTAAAGACGTATAAGTGATTAACTGAAAACCATAAAAAATATGTACTTGAGTAGAGCTCCACTTCAGATTTGTCATTTCTGGAAAATTTGTGAAGAAATATTGACATCAAACTTCTGTATTGATTATTTCTTCAGGTCTATTTGGAATTTTTAAAGTAAACTTGGATCTAAACTGTCTGAAGAGTGCTGCTTTTTCTATGTATTTAACAACAAAAATGGATTGCCGTATTTCTCACATTGTTAATACACATAGGATCCAGTGAGCTCTTTCAGATATGCAGCAATGATCATGTGTGCTGAGATAAATACATAACACATAGGATTTATCTCTTGTGTGAATTTCTTCACATATTTCACTTACAATCTGGCTGCTGAAAGTGTCTCCACTAGCTTATGTAGCCAGTGGTTCTACTGAGTGTGAATTCTTTCATGTGTTTTGCAATAACTGTGTGTGGTAAAAGCTTTGCCACATTGTTATATGCATAGGGTTTCTCACCAGTGTGGAGTCATTGATGTATTTTACAAAATCCATGTGTGGTGAAAGCTTTCCCACATTCTTCACATAAACAGGGTTTCTCAACAGTGTAAATTTTTTCATGTATTGGACAATGAGCATTCCTGCTGAAAGCGTTCCCACATTCCTTACATATATAAGTTTTCTTCCCAGTGTGAAGTTTTTCATGGATTATGCAATATGTACTTGTGCTCAAAAAATTCATGATGCTTACATGCACTGTTTGTTTCTTGAGTGTGAACTTTCATGTTGCTTACAACTTCCCTGTTGGGTAAAAGCTTTCCCACACTGCTTACATATATAGGGTTTCTCGCCAGTGTGAATTCTTTCATGTTGCTTACAATGTCCATGTGTGGTAAAAGCTTTCCCACATTGCTTACATACATAGGGTTTCTCTCCAGTGTGAATTCTTTCATGTTTCTTAAAATATCCCTGTGTGTTAAAAGCTTTCCCACATTGCCTACATACATAGGGTTTCTCTCCAGTGTGAATTCTTTCATGTATTTTACAATTTCCCCGTGTGTTAAAAGCTTTACCACATTGCTTACATACATATGGTTTCACTCCAGTGTGAATTATTTCATGTGCCTTACAATGCCCATGTGTGGTAAAAGCTTTCCCACATTGCTTACATACATAGGGTTTCTCTCCTGTGTGAATTCTTTCATGTTGCTTAAAATACCCCCGTGTGTTAAAAGCTTTCCAACATTGCCTACATACATATGGTTTCACTCCAGTGTGAATTATTTCATGTGCCTTACAATGTTCATGTGTGCTAAAAGCTTTCCCACATTGCTTACATACATAAAGTTTCTCTCTAGTGTGAATTCTTACATGAACCTTACAATGTGCACGTGTTTTAAAAGCTTTCCCACATTGCTCACATACATATGGTTTCTCGCCAGTGTGAATTCTTTCATGTTGCTTACAATTTCCACGTCGGGTAAAACCTTTCCCACATTGCTTACATACATAGGGTTTCTCTCCAGTGTGAATTCTTTCATGATTCTTAAAATCTCCTTGTGTGTAAAAAGCTTTCCCACATTGCTTACATACATAAGGTTTCTCTCCAGTGTGAAATCTTTCATGTTTTTCACAATCTGCATGTTTGTTAAAAGCTTTCCCACACTGCTTACATACATATGGTTTCTCTCCAGTGTGAATTCTTTCATGTGTTTTACAATTTCCCCGTGTGTTAAAAGCTTTACCACATTGCTTACATATATATGGTTTCATTCCAGTGTGAATTATTTCATGAGCCTTACAATGTCCATGTGTGGTAAAAGCTTTCCCACATTGCTTACATACATAGGGTTTCTCTCCAGTGTGAATTCTTTCATGTTGCTTACAATGTCCAGATTTGGTGAAACCTTTTCCACAGTGTTGACATACATAGGGTTTCCCTCCACTGCAATATTTTTCATGGATCAGAACATTATGGTGTGTTTCTGCTTCTTTCACATTCACATTACCTTCTGCAGTACAAAGGAATACTTCTCTACACTGATTCCAAGATGTATGTCCACAGGATTTCCCTAGCTTTTCATTTCTGTTAAAAAAAAATACCACATATAGGATTGATAACCATATTACTAAGTTTTTATGGGAGAGTTGAACAAAACTGTTTGCAGTCTCGCTGTTTGAATCCCAATTCATATGTTTCACTTTTGTATTTCATTAAGTATTTCTATGAGCAGCATATGTAATCACTGTCTTTAGATATCTTACTGTTTATTTTCATTTTGAAAGCGGTATCATTTCTACTTACTTTGGTTTTTTTTTACTCTTTCTTTACATTAAATAAAAAAATAAGAAACATTCACAGTGAAATGGGTCTCAGTTTAATGACTGCATTAATATCAAGTTTTGTTTTTAATGCCTGCTAAGAAATTCTGACCATGAAATGACAGAATGGCCTTGTAAGACATGTTGAAACCAACCATTCCCAAAAGAATAATACACATGTAGAAATCTTAAAATTTGGTACCTTTTCAAATGCAGAATCTTTAGCTTCACTTTGGGCAAGGGTACATATGTGTATCACATACAGATCATTCTGATATGTTTCCCCATCACAATCTCCCTTCTGTGCTTAATCTGTAGTTCCCTTTTCCATATGGTCAGTCTTACCTTTCTGTATTAACTTTCTTTCATTTCATTCCACAATTTATATTTTGGTTTCTCATCTAAAACAAATCCTGTGAACTTTTAAGTTTTATAGCTGAGCTATTTCACTGAATTGATGGGAGAAAGAACAACCTATTTCTTATGGCAAATGACATTATATTATTTATTTTTTGATATTACATAACACATTTTTTTTCTTTTCCATGTTGGGAATGAACAAAAGCTATTAGCATAAAATCTACAACTTTTTAAATCTGTTTTAAGACATTTTCGCTGATCATTAAGCTGTGATGTTTGAACTTGAATTTTCCATTCTGCAAAATCTGATTCCTAGTGTGCTGGATTTACAAGAATGCACAATCACAGAGAGTCTATTAACATTTTCCTTCTCCACAAATCCAGTGATAGATAGCTAAGCTTCTTCAAGGCCTGATCTATTATAACTTGATCTGCTTTGTATATGAGCAAGCATGTATCAGTATTTTATGTGGATTTTGAATTTTTAAAAATATATCCAGGACAAGTATGAGGGGATCAATTTCTAGAGACAACTGCACACTGATATTCAGAATGAGTGCACTTAACATTCCACCAGCCTCCTAAGAATTTTGGTCAGAATGGCTGATTCTTTAGAGCATGGCTTGGAAACACAAGCACTCTGTTTTATTTCAAATTCTATTGCAATCTTACTAATTTTTAGATAATGAATGTATTGTATTCACATGCATATATGGGTAGAAAAACTGAAGGGAGAATGTCATAACTCAAAGTGTATGCCTTTTGTACACATCTATATGCAATGACATACATTTTCATGATTTAATCCACTCATTATACATACCCTAGCTTATACATCTTCGGAGAATATTACTGACAATAAATTGAATGGTGCCTCATTTCTTTGGCGGTCATTTTTCTGCTGACTCACTAATTACTCAGGAACATTCCTTCTCCTTATGAGCGTGAATTACCTTAAGTATCTCCAGTAAATTTTGCATTCTTTTTCAGCTTCCTGGATATCCCCAAGTCCTCCTGAATTGTAGACATACAAATACCAGCACCCATTAGAATAATATACACAAATTAATAGATTTTGTTTAGAGTTATGATTTAATGTGCCCAGGTCTGAGCTATTTTTAAAAATATTTTCACATTGTTTTTAATGAAACAGAACTGATGAGCGACATACAATATTCTGACAGCATGAATGACAAAAGTATTTTGTCCTTACCTATTGCAGTCATGTTCCTAAAGGTTTCGCCCATCACATCTCTGTAGAGGTTCTTTTGGGATACACTCAGCAAAGTCCACTCCTCATTGTTGAAGTTCACAACCACATCCTCCAAGGTCACCACCTCCTAAAGCATCATACATATATTTCTCACACGAAGGTTGAGACACCAGGTTTTGGGATATCTTATATTCTCTCCTACAAATTTGAATCAAAAGCAAAGTGTGGTGGTATATATCTAAAATTCCAGCACTCAAAATGCTGAGGCAGGATGGTTTCAGTGAGTTCAGGGCAATTCTAGGCTCCACAGGATGTTCAAATCTAGCTGATATACATACAGAAAGCTTGTCTCAATAAAACAAAACAAAAGTAAACAAATACAACCAAACAAAACAGCTGAATGAAGACTGATTTCTTCAAATTTAAATCCATGTCTTGGTCATTAATTTTGTGTATATGCACATTTTTGAAGACAGCAAATTTGATGATAGATTGCAACTCACTGCTAATGTAAGAGTGAAATAGGAGCACTGATTCTTGTGCTGAGTCACAGCAATATTCCCTGTGTACTGTCTCTAAAGCAGAGCTCACAGTGAGAAGCCTGTTGGACCAGCATCCACAAAGCACAGAACCAGATAAATATCCCATCAATCAAATGGGAAGCCAAACAAGCACCTCCCTTCCCTGGTAAGTGGTGATGATGTGCCAGACTGTGGCCTATCCAGGGGGAAACCAGCAGCAGCTCCTGAGATCCATGCCATGCTGCAATTTAGGACACTTGGAAGGCAAGGAAGCACCACTTCTCCCGGGTAAGCGGTGGCGGTCTCGCAGAATGCGGCCCTTCCAGGGGGAGAACCAGCAGCAGCTCCTGACATCCACGCCATGTGGGAACTTAGGACGCTGTGAAACCAAACAACCTGCCTGTCTCCCTACTAAGCAGTAGTGAACCTACTGATGTACGGCCTAGAATCAAACATCCTACTTCCCTACCGGTCTTCTCCTGTCACCCCCCCTCCCCCCGTTAGCAAATGGGAACCAGAAATCTGAGCGTCTCCTGGGAAGCAGACCATAACAAATAAGGGGGCCTTCCTTCTACTATCTCTTTGGAGGCAAATATTTTTATTACTGTTTTGCTCTATTCTGATTAATGGTATTGCTCTATTCAATATTCTGTTTTGATAAGTACTATAATGTTCTGTATTTCATCTCATTTTGATATATGTGTTTGAAAGAACAACTATTGGGGCTGGGGACTTAGCTCAGCGGCATAAGCACCTGCCTTGCAAGAAGACAGTCGTGGGTTCGATACCCGGTACTGATAAAAAGGAAAAAGACAAAAAAAACCCCACAACTATTATAAAGATAATAAAGTATACTGTGATACCTATTACTGTTATCGCAGTAACCAGTTGTGAAGTTGTGTACCATTTTCACTGTATGATCTTAGTTGGCCTTATTCTGCCTTGTTCTGTTGTATTTTACCACTTTCAAAATTTAAAAAAAGAAAAAAAATCTCATCAATCACTTTGATAGGCTATAGATAATGTCTCTTCAAATCTCATTTAGGCCAGTGAATACTTTGTTCTTAATATACTTCAGCAGCATTTTGAAACATGAATTTGGTTTCATAGAACAAAACATAAATAACATCCAATATGGTACACAAATAATAACTCAAATATTAGTGAAAAATGCTGTTTGTAAAAAATAAGTATATAAAAGGGAATGAGGCCCAAGATGTAATTTATAGCTCACTGTCACCAAGCGTTCACTTTCAATTCACATATAAGAAATATGTCCTGTGAGGCTGGTGAAGGACTTCTTCCTTGAATTTGGGGCTATCCTAAGTTACAGAGCTGTCTAACATAGAGAAACCCTGACTGTGACACCCCACAGACAAAGTGAAACTTGAAAAGAGACTGCATAAGACACCTTTGGTTTGTTTTTAAAAACTATAGCCATACAATATGGAAAAATTCCAAAAATATTCACACTTTATGAGAAACAATGTGGATATCTGCCATACAACAAAGAAAACACTTTCATAGTTGGGTATTTAGCTCAGTGGCATGAACGCCTGCCTGGAAAGCATAGGTCATGAGTTCGATCCTTGGTACAAAAAAATCCACATTTTACCTTCCTGACACTGGGGCATAATTAGACATAATCCAAGTTAGATCTCAAGTATGGAACAGAAAATTCATGGGTTGACAAGGATGTGAAACACTGATTGTTGCCAGAGCTGGTGTTGATCACCTCAATGAAGCAATCAGAACCCAACTTTAACTTCACACTTACTCTAAGAACTACCTGAATTTCAGTGAAGACCCTCTCTGTTGTATGCCCTGCTTTTGGCTTCCTGCATTCTGTCAGTCACTTGTACATCCTTTCCACGCTCCTCTGATCCATCCTCTGCAGGAAACCCTTAATGCCTAACTATTGATATCACTGCAAAATTTAGAGCTTCTCCTTTACACCACTTAGTAAATTCCATTGCAGAGCATTTCCATATTTAACTGTCTATGAACAACCAAGCCACTAAATCAGCTCTTAATTCAGAGATGACACACCTATTCCTTTCCACTCAAAAGGATATCACGTGTATATGTCCATGCAAATGCCTAAATTTCAGCATTTTTTGATGAGAATTTAACAGGTAACCCTTTCAGGAATTTGTCCTTCACAAATTTTTACCCTGTCCTTGATAACACTTTCATATTTGCTTCATTTTTCTCAGACTTCAAAACCCTATGGCTGTTCTCACAAACCTAGTCTGTGAGCAGGCGTGCCACATAAATACCTAAGTATGTTCAGAAATTATTTTGCACTGATCCATATAATACACAGGAGTTCATGAGTTGTTTGGGAAGCCTTTTTCCACTGAGGCACACTACTACACATCTCTGAATTCTCAGGACCATTGAGACTACCTGTCATGAGGATGGAAATATGAGAACATACTATAAATTGAGGAGATCGCTACAAATACAAAAAAGCCCAAGTTTAAGTTGAGCCATTGTGGCTATGAGGCCCTGCATTACAGACATTAATAAACTTTGGACATTCCAGATCTGTGACTCTGAGGAAAGAGAGCATAGACCTAGCTCATTACTGCTCTACAAGCTACAAAAAGTATCATAGTCAGGGTCTTCTCAAGCTCCTTCCAATGCCTAAGATTGTGGAGTTACCAGGCCAGCAGTGAATTTCAAAGATGATACTTGAGTCTGCTGCTGTCATAGTGAAGCCAGGGTTCTGGGGACCCCAAATCACCCTTGCCAACAGCAAAAGGCAAAAGGGACAGTGAATGACCCATGGACAATGCTGGAGGACCTCAGGAGCTGAAGCTAACTAAATACCTGAGGCTCCAGACACCGGAATTACTTCTAAATACTTGTAACTGGTTTCACCCAATCCACCCTATCTCTGGCCTCCCATCCACAACCTCGCCATTCCATGGCTCCAGGATCTCTCAGGTTCTTTGCTAATCAGGCCACAGGACATCAAAAGTACTAAATGAGATGCAGCAAGCATTTTGCTACCAGTATCCTACTCAGAAAAGGTAAATCATGCTGAGACACTGGAAGAGACAAAAGTCACAGCCAGCAATGGCCTGAAAATTGGACACTTCATATAGCCTGCCCCTTCATCACTGATTGACTCCTGCTCTACTGCTCTCCTTCTGAGTCAAGAATCAACAGGGAATGGAACCCCTCCCTGCAAGAGAGGATCTCAAAAGATAGACTATAGTGCTGGGACGTCTGGAGCTGCCATTCTTCTACAGTGGTGAACTCAGCTCGACCAGAGGAGTGTTTGTACTGAAGAGCTTTACCTCAGTCTTTTAATTTTCAAATCCATTTTATTTCAATGAAAAAAGAACACATCAACTAAAATTAAATTTCAAAACATGTCAATTGGGGGTAACACTTGAAAATACATTGCACACTGTAATCCCCAGATCATTCACCCAGAGCACAAGACATCTGTAATCAATTATCCAAACAGTACTGTTACAGGCACCTAAGTTAGTTAAATAGTATTGGCATAAGGCAGGGCTAGGTCCTCCAAGGAGTCCATGCAGGAGACGAGATACCATGCAACTATGGGGAAGACTGACACGTCATGCTATGGGCCAAGTCTCAAGACAAATGATAAGCAAATTCATCCATATCCTAAAGACTGATATTCTAAATAGTGCCTTAGCACTCTGAGGAGATCAGGACTCACCATTCAAAGAAAAGTATGCTTATTCTAAGGACTGACATTTTAAATATCTCCTATCATCCTGATGAACTCAGGTGTTACCCTCCCATAACCCTAAGGGAAAAGTCACAGCTGCCTAAGAATGCCTGCTTCCTATGTGACTCCCTTCACCTTTGTTCCCAATTTAATCAACTTTTACATGAACTTATAATCTTATTGGCTACCATAGCTCTGTCCCATCTTATGCCCATCTGCATTGTGAGTTCCGATTTTTCCCCACCTTAAACTCAGCTTACCACATGATTTTACTCTACAAAGTTCCCTAGAAAGACAGTGTTTGGCATCCCGCCAGGACCCCTTCTCTCTCTCAGGTGGCTTTCTTTCTCTCAAGAAGTATATTGTGCTCTTAATTTCTGTTGTTCCTAAAATTCATTCTTTCACTTTAGAGAACCCAAACTCATACCACAGCTAGAAGGTCAGGAATTTCATTCCACTATATCAGGATATGGTTGCCTCTATTTCTAATTAACTCAGCTGCCTGTAAATTTAAGAATTGTTTATCAATTTGACTTGGAGTAACTGTAGCAAGTAAAATGTTCTTAATGAATATATGGATATATATCATTAAAACGAAAAAACGATTATCACACTTTTTCTACCTAGCACCAGCCAACATTTTCAACTTTCAAGTATGTGGGAAAACAAAAAATAAAACCAACTCAGAAAATAGCAATCCTTAAGGGACAGTATATCATTCACTGTAATACCCATGTTATTGGCAGGTATTTCATAGGTCACAAAAGAAACATTGAGCCTATTAAATACCAAGTATCAGTTTCAATAAATGTGCTCATAGCACTGCATCGTTGACAATTGTGATTTTTTTTTTCTGTATGAGGGATTGAACTCGTGACCTTGTGCTCTCCAGGAAGCTCCTTGTATCCTTGAGTTCAATCTCCAGACCCAACTACTTTACATCTAAATATGACTATTAACAATGTTTAATTTGCCATTGACATATTTAGTTATAAATTTTGTAAATCTTAATTTTCACAAATGAAATTATTTTCTTTCCTTGCAGTTTAAATTACTTTTTTTTTTTAGGTACCGGGCATCAAAGCTACAACCTAGCACTATCCAGGCAGGTGTTTCTGCCTCCGAAGATAAATCCCTGGCCTGTATTAATGAATATTTCACTTTATTCATTCAAATAGAACTGTGATTTTAGCAAAGGATACCAATGTAGAGAGAAATTGATATACAATCAGAGAGGAACTGGAACCTCAAATAGTTATTGCAAAAAACTAAATACAACAGTCACTGCTACAGGCACAGCTGAAGAAAGCCAGACCTGAAGGTGAAGATGAAGTGACCAGGTCTACATGGTCCTGAAGAGAAAAACAACAGTTTGCAATGTACTACAGTTACCACCACCTCCTCCAGGAAGTTCAGATGGGCATCAATTACCATACTCAATGACCAGAACACCTGGACTATTGTTCCCACAAAATGCCTTGGTTCTTTCCACATACCTTTTCTGGCTGACTTGTTCCCCTGTTGAATATTATTAGTTAAGCAGCTATAAGCTTATAGGTTGATTGTAGTCTGAGAACCACACTGTACTCACATTGTGACTTTCCTGTATAAATGACCCCTGAGAATAGGTCTGGGCCAAAAACCCAAAGACCACTCCTGAAAATTCAGGGCTATACTTCCTTCTTTTTTTCTAAGAAAATTTTTGAACTTCTTTTGGTTTATGACTTCATTTCTCAATGTTGTGAGCCATTAAACTTGCTGCATTTGATATCAAACAGGGCAGGATTATATTTCTCTTATTTCAATTTAAATATGAAATGTCTGCTAAAGGCCATGTTCCAAAGCCAGAATTTCAGGCTGCTTGTTTGCCCTGAGTTTAACATTTCCATGAGCTTTTAGAAGTCCTCAGTCTAGTGAACTGCAAATGTACTGGAGGAAGCAGGTCACTGTGGTCCTGTAGCACAATAGGTGCCATTCCTAAGTCAGTGTTAGTCCCTGCCTCCTGGATGCCACTACATGGACTTCTTTCCTCTGCAACATCATTCAATAATTCCCATTTTTCATAACTCAAATTTCACTCAGCTCTATTATTGTTTGTTTTTAATAATTTTTCTGTCTACTTGGTTTTTTTTTTTTTTCATTTTAGTTTTTGATTTAAAGACATAGTCTCACTTTGGAGTTCTGGGAAGCCTTGCACTCACTATGTAGGTTAGGCTGTCTTTGAATATATGGCCATTCTCCTGTTTCAGTTTCTTCATTGCTGGGGAAAAGAGGTGGGCATTATAGCACATGGTGTTTGTCTTTTTTCTCTTCTGCTTTTCACTACTATTCTTTCATTTCAGGGGCACTGTTATTTAATCCTGAGGTTTGCTTGTGTCAGTAAGGTTTCTGCAGCTTGAGGTGATTTTGTGAACAATAATATAGGAAGCCAAGCAACCCAATTGAGAAATGTGGAATTTCATTAGCTGCTCTCAGCACCACTTGTATACAGAACCCCCACCCCCATTTCAGGATCTAAACAAGAGGCTCTGAACTGGAAAGTTAGAGATGTTTTAAAAGATAGAATCACCAAAAGATAGTTGGAAATCATTTAGCTAGAATCTTATAATAATTTTTGGATAACAACTGTATTCTGCTTCTTTTGTTGAGCACGTTAATTTTTTTCTTTGGGTATAGCTCATTTTGCTTTTCTCCTGGGACTTATACCCTGAGTGATTTTCCATTTTTCTGAGTGAAATACAGGGCACTAGTTAAATGCAAAGCTCAAGATGGCATCTATTAAGCCAACCTACAACACAGCTAAGTTACAAGCCTCAATATTTTCTAGGGTAAAAACACACAGATCTATAATCCCAGCACTCAAGAGGTTCAGACAGGAATGCTGCTTTGAGGTTAGGGCAATTTTGTGCTCCATAAATGGTTCAAATCTAGCTGATATACATAGAGAAAACTTGTCTCAATAAAACAAAACTAAACTACACAAATAAAACCAAACAAAACAGCTGAATGGAGAGTGATTTCTTCAAATTTTATTCCACATCATGGGGATTAATTTTTGTATATATACATTTTTGATACAGCAAATTTGATGCTATATTGCAACTCACAGCTAACGTACCAGCCAAACAGGAGCACTGATTCTTTTTTTTTTTAAAGAGGAAAAAGAGAAAAACACAAAACAAAACAAAGCGTTGTAAGGGTACACCTAATACGGAACTACAAAAAAAAAAAAAAAATAACAGTAAGAAATCACCTGTTAGTAGATTACATATTATCATCTTGAAAATAGTTGCTCAAATCACAGTATCAAAGAATACAAGGTGGACATTCAAACAGGGAGACTGCAAACAGCTGTGTTCAATGATCCAAAAACATTGATATAGTCAGCTATTTAACACCCCTAAACACACTTACTGTTATATCCCTAGAGCTCTTTTTCTTTTCTTTTTTCTTTTTTTTCCCTCTCTTGCACTGATTCTTATGGTGAGTCACCGCAAGAGTCCCTGTGCACTGCCTCCAAGGCAGAGCTCATAGTGAGAGCCTGCAGGACCAGCATCCATAAAGCACAGAGGCAGACAAATATCTCATGAATCACTTTGACGTACTAACAGTAATATCTCTTCAAATCTCATTTAGGCCACTGAGTCCTTTGTTCTTAATATACTTAAGCAGTATCTTGATATTTAAATTTGGTTTCATAGAACAAAGCATAAATAACATCAAATATGATACATAAATATAACTCAAATGTTCATGGAAAACGGATGTATGTTAAAAATGTATAAACAATGAAATCAGGTACAAGTTTCAAATTATAGCTCGGTGTCACCAAGTGATCACTCTCCATTCAGATATAAGAAATATATCTTGGGAGGCTGATGCAGGAGAACTTCCTTGAGTTTGGGGCTAGCCTAAGTTACAGAGCTGTCTGAAATATAGAAACCCTGACTGAGACACCCCACAGACAATGTGAAACTTGAAAAGTGACTGCATGCGACACCTTTGGTATGCTTTAAAAATTATATCCATACAATATAGAAAAATTCCACAATATTCAACATTTCTGAGGAACAATGTTAATATCATACATAGTGTGCAGAAAACACTTTCAGAGCGGGGTATTTAGCTCAGCAGCATGAACACCTACCTAGCAAGCTTGAGATCATGAGTTCTATCCCTGTTACAAAAAAATTCAAATTTTGCCTTCATGACACTGGGTCATAATTAGAGATAATCAAAATTAGATCTCAAGTGAAGAACAAAGAATTCATGTGTTGACAAGGATGTAGAATACTGATTCTTACCAGAGCTAGTGTTTTTCACCTCAAGGAAGAAATCATAAACCAACTTTAACTTCATGCTTACCCTAGAACTACCTGACTTTCAGGGAAGACCCTCTCTGTTGTATGTCCTGCTATTGGCACTCTGCATCCTGACAGTCACTTCCACATCCTTTCCACTCTCATCTGATCCACCCTAAGCAGAAAACCCTTCATGACTAAACTATTGATATCCCTGCACAATTTCAATTTATGGCATCTCCTTTACACCACTTAGTAAAGTCCACTGCAGAGCATTTCCATATTTCAAAAATGTATATGATCAACCAAGCTATTAAATCACCTCTTAATTCAGAGATGACACCCACATTCCTTTACATTCAGAAGGATATCACTTGTATATGTTCATGCAAATGACTACATTTAGGCATTTTTCCGTGAGAATTTAACAGGCAGCCTTTTCTGGAATTTGTCTTAGCAAGCACACTTTACCCTGCCCTTGATGACACTTTTATATCTGCTTCATTTTTCTCAAAATTTAAACCTCTATGGCTGTTCTCCCAAACATCGTCTATGAGCACATGTGTCACATAAAGTATGTTCAGAAATTCTTTGCATTGTTCTGTATAATACACAGCAGTTCATCCGGTGTTTGGGAAGCCTTCCTCCACTGAGGCACATCACTACACGTCTTTGAATTTTCAGAACCTTTGCCTCCACCTTCATGAGCATGGAAATATGAGAACATAGTATAAATTTAGGCGATCACAAAATACATAAATGCATAAGTTTAAGGAGAGCAGTTGTGGCTATCAGGTCCTACAGCACAGACATTTATAAACTTCTGGCTTTCATATCTGTTGCTGACAGGAATGAGAGCAGAGACCTAGCTTATTACAGCTGCACCCAGCTTGAAAACACATCGCAATCAGGGTCTCCTCATGCCCCGTCCTGGGCCCAGACTGTTGGAGGAGCAAGGGCAGCAGGCGATTTCAAAAATGGCATTGTGGCCTGGTGGTATCACAGTGATGACAGCATTCTAGGGACCCAGAACTGTCCTGGCGCCAGCGAGAGGTAAAAGGGACAGAGGATGACTCACTGCTAGTACTAGTGGACCTCAGGGTCTGAGGCTAAGCACACAGGCTCTAGACAGCACAGCTGCTTCTCAACACTTGTTTTTATTTTTTTTTCCTTTTCTTTTTCTTTCTTTCTTTCTTCATTTATTTTATTTATTTATTTATTTATTTTGGTCTTTTTCCTTTTTATCAGTACAGGGGATCAAACTCATGTCTGCCTGCTTTCAAGGCAGGCGCTTATGCCGCTGAGCTAAACCCCCAGCCCCTTCTCACCACTTCTAACTGGTCTCAACCCGATTCCACCCCATTTCACTGCTCCCATCCCATAACATCACCATTGCGTAGTTTGGAGGTCTCCCAGGTTCTGTCTAAGCAGTCCACAGCGAATAGAAGCAAAAAATAGTGGTCTAGCAAACATTAGTGCTCCCTTTTGTGCCCTGGCCTTGCAATTGACGCCATGACACCGGAAGACACCGCCTACCTTGGCCCGCCTGATTGGACAGTTCTTTAGCCAGCCTCTTCATCACTGATTGGCTCCTGCTCTCCTGCCTGCCTTCCGCACCAAGAATAATTGCAGAAAATAAAACACCCTGTAACTGTGGATCCCCAATGAAAGCTGGTGAGGCTTCTGGAGCTGGCTGTTTTCTGGAATGTTGACCTCAGCACGTCTGATGGGTATTTGCACTGAAAGTCTTTACCTCAGTCCTTGTTTTTTCTCCCAAACCCATTTTATTTGAAAGTTAAAAACTAAAAAATGTGGTCCACCGATTTAGCTTAAGTACCTGCCTGGCAAGCTAGAGGTCCTGCATTCCACACCAGATCTGGCTACCACAAACTGCTGCTATAAACGTGGGTGCACATATATCACTGTGGTATGATAATTTTTATTCTTTTGAGTAGATACCCAGAAGGAGAATAGCTGAGTTGAGTGGGAACTGTAGACCTAGTTTGTGTGGAATCTCCACACTGATTTCCACAGGGGTTGCTTTACCACCAACAATGGAGAAGGGTTCCTTTTTCCTCCACAACCTCTCCAGCATTCGTTATTGCTTCAATTCTTGACAGTAGGCATTTTTTCTGGGGCAAGGTGACATATCAGTGTTATTTACTTTGCAATTCTTAAATGACGAGTGATGCAGAACATTATATCACATATTTATTTGCTGTTTCTATTTCTTCATCTGAGAACTGTGTATTTCACCTCAGATGCACATTTTTGGATTTGGTCTTTAAATCTGGGAAGACTGAAATTTTTTAGTTTTTCATGCTCTCAATAGTAATACTTTGTCTGAGGAACAGTTGGCAAACATTTTCTCTCACGTTGTGGGTTGTCTTTTCACTCTTTTAGTTATTTCTAGCTGTTAAAAAGTTTTTCAGTAGGGTGAGATTCTCACTTAATTCTCTTCGATTTTTGCTGTTCAAAAATCGATGTTTTCTTCATAAAGACTTTGCTTACATGAATGTCTTCAAGAGTTTTACTTACTCTATCTTGCAGCAGATTTAATGTTTCTGTTTTAATATAAGATCTTTGATCTATTCTGATCTTAGCTTAATACACTTTGAAAGATAATATTCAGAATGTATGGAGCCAGTTTTTCCAGCACCATTTATTAAAGAGACTGCTTTTCTTCCAATGACTCTGTTTGGCACCTTTGTCAAAGATAAGATGGTTTAGTGGTCTGGGATTGTTTCCCCATTTTCTAATTTGTTGCTTTGATCTTTGCATCTGGTTTTTGTTTGTTTTGTTTTTTGTCAGTACCACATCTTTTTTTTTTTTTATCACAATACCTTTATAGTACAATTTCAAGTCAGGGATTTTGATGAATCTTATCTTTCCTTTGTTGCCCAGGATCACCTTTGCTACTCTAGGTCTCTTCTGGTTCCAGATGAATTTTAGGATTTATTTTGTGTAATTCTTTCAGATATGCTATGGGGTTTTGATTGGGATTGCACTAAATCTGTACAATAGCTTTGGAAGTATGGTCATTTTCACTATATTGAATTTCCCTACCCAAGACTATGGGATAGCTCTTCATTTTCAAATATCTTCTTCAATCTCCATTTTGAGAGTACTGTAGTTTACAATGTAGAGATCATTTACATCCTTTATTAGATTGATTCCTAAGTATTTCATTTGGTGGGATGCTATTGTAAAAGTTATTGTTTCCTTGATTTCTCTTTCTATGGGTTTTTTATTCTTGTTTATGAAGTCTATTGATTGTTGAGTGTTGCCTTTGTAACCAGCTATATTACTGAATTTGCTTCTTAAACTAGAAGTCTTTTGGTGGAATTTTTAGGGTCTTCTACGTAGAGTATCATGGCTTCTGCAAATAATGACATTTTAAGCTTTTCCTTTCCTATCTTTATTCCTTTTATTTCTTTCTCTTGTCTAACTGCTCCAGCTAGTTTCCAGGACTATATTCAATAAGAGTGGAGACAGTTGTCTCCACTTGTTTTGTTCCTGATTTTAGAGTGAAAGCTTTCAGTGTTTGTCCACTTAGTATGAGGATGACTGTTGGTTTGTAATAAAAGGCTTTTATCAGATTGAGATAAATATCATCTCCCCAATTTTTGTAGGTTTTTTATTATGAATAGGTGATGCAATTTGTCAAAATCTTTTTCTGCATCTATTGAAGTGATCAAATGAGTTTTGCTTTTGGATTTGTCAATACGGTGTATTATATGTATGGATTTATGTAAGTTGAACCACCCCTGAGTACCAGGGAATAATTCCAGTTGATCATGATGTAAAACCTTCTTGATGATATTCTGCAGTCTGTTTGCCAGTATCTTATTGGGGATTTTTGCTTCAATGTTCACTAGGCAGAATGGTCTGTAATTGTCTTTCTTATTTGGATTGTTCTCTGGTTTTGGTATCAGGGTACTGCTTGCTTCCAGGAATGAACTGAGAAGTACAATTTCCCATTTGATTTCATTAAATTTTGAGAAGTGATGGTGTTAGGTCTTCTCTAAATTTCTTATTTATCCCTGCCATTTCATAGCTACCCTGCTTTCTTTCAAGGATCAGTGGACTCTTTGCATAATGGGCTGCAAATGTTTTCAGGATTCACGTTCAATCCTCCAGGAATAAAAGTCCACTGATGTCAGAAAATATTCTGAGAAAAGGCCAGGGCAGGACACAACAGAACAGAGAGTTGGAAGTTTCTGTTAGAGGTATCAGACTTCATTTTCATGATTTTCACTCATTTCTATTAATTTTCCACCAAGAAACCCAGTATGTGAACACTAAAGGAGCACAGTTACCATGTATAGTGAAGACATTACATTTAAATGATAGTAATGGTCTGCAACAGTGTAAGGATGATATAAAAGCAAGCATCAGTACTCCAAGACAAGCTTGCTACTCATTCAGGCTCAAAAAAATGCTGAATTCTGAAAGTGATCATATTGCCAAGCATGGGGGTGACAATTATTGCTGAAATGGAACCTAATCCAATTAAACATTTCCTTCTGGTGAGGCAGGGACACCCAAGGACTTGACACTCAAAGTTCCCCTTGCCGTATAGTTCCCTTGTCACTAATTGGCACTCAGCTCTTTTTGTACTCTACTTTAAAAAAAAAAAAACATGGCCCCATGATGAAAAAACGGGGCAAGACCCCAAGATGACGAATGGGACAAGACATCTTTTTTAAAAGAAGCACTTTTATTTGCACTGTGTGCCCAGCGACACAGTGCAAATGGAATTTGCAAAGCTGTGCAACTGAGTTAGAGTTTTGACTGATTTTTATAGTTCATTTATGATTAGCTCATTGATCAGTAAGTACATAGTGATGAGAAACAGAAATAAGGTGGGCCTTTGTTCCCCTTTGCTTGAGGACAGAGGCATTTCACAGTGGGTGGTTGGCCAATTCATAGCCCTTGGTCTGCCAATTTCAGGAACATTTGTCTCTCATAATGGGAACAGTGGTTGGCACAGCATCATTTGTTTCTTACAAGGGAAACAATATTTGACATAGGACACAGGTCACTAATGTGGGGGGATGACGCATTACAGAACAGCAGAATGACGTGGTCAGTTAATTTATACCTATGTGGTTGGTGCTTGATTACTAGGGCAATGAGCTCAGTAGAATGATATTACTAATAACTATCTTTTTAAGTAATTATTTTTGTTAATTATCTTTTAATCAATTATTTTAATTTTTAGCATCTCAGTATAACACTCTTCAGGATTTTAATACTCCTAGAAGTCATATATGCCCTAAAGGCTGGTGATCCATTTGTTAACACCTTTTGGCTTCAGAAATGTGTAGGAGATTACTATGATTGCTTCTATATGTATAAACTGCAGCCATGTGTGTTAGAACCCATGAACGAAATCTGGTCTCTGGATCCTTCTTTCAGGTTCTGAAACTGTTCTCTGGCTCCTTGATGTAATAAAAAACTTACTTTTTCCTTTTCACTTTTTTCCAAGATATTTATGCTTTGGAAACAGTCAAAATCAAACAACCCTCATGGAAACCATGAGATAAAGAATATATTTATATTAAATTCTATAAGTCAGGTATTTTGTACCTGTATAAAAGTAAAGAAATAAATGTCTAATACAATTCAGCTAGCTGTATGTTCTGAATAATCTTCCAAATGCATCAACTCATTCTTCAACTAATTATGTAAATGAGTTTTTAATCCATGAAAACCCTAACAGTTTTTTAGCATTTACCTGTTTCAGTTTGACTCCAGCAATTCTTTGGAGATCAAAACCACTTAATTTCCTGTACAATCCATTCTGTGCCAAGCAGGCATAACTGGCATCTGGTCAGGAATTCTTGGTTAAAAACAAATGAACTGCTAGAAACACCGAGACTCATGTTACATAGTACTTAGCAAGTTGATGGAGGCCTCCGTAATTATCTACCAATTTCACTTATAAGTACTGACTTAGAAAAGTTATGCAGAATACTCACAATGATGTAAAGAGGTGTATAATCATGCCTTCTGAGAAATCACTATAATACCCCTCGATATGTTAAAAAGGTAGCATATGTTGATAAGTTAGCAATATATTTGTTGATAATAACACTTCCATCTACAGGTAAAGAAAATTTACATGCAACAAAATTTTCAGGAAACTTACAACTGGAAGGTAAGTTTTTATTGGAGCCTATGCCTAAATACCTAGCCCCCAAAAAAGTACACAGCAAAGGACCAAAAGAATGAGAAAAGTGGCATTGTCTTGAGGGCAACAGGAAGAGTGAAATCTTCAGAACTCATAACTCTGCTAAGCAGCCAGCCACCTGTCACTAGGCAGCCCATATTTAATCAGAACAAGCAAGGAAGTGAGTGGACAATGGTAAAAAGATGAGCAGGCCCCTGGGAGAGGTTCAAGGAACCCACAGAGCAACAGATGATTCTAATTAAGAAAAATTATTCAGGAAGTCTAGGTGGCCTCAGCTGTGGCCTATTTGTTCCTTGCGGTGTCTCCTCATTCTCAATTCAATCATGCCCAGGCCACATCACGGCCCTGCACATGTATTCATCTTCAACCCTTTCCAACAACTCTCTCTTATTTTGTTTTGTTGACTCCCAGGATGGGTGGCCAGCTTAAGGTGGGGAAGCATTGAGGAGAACTCCAGTTTAAACTCTTCATAGTCCATCAGTTCATAACAGCAGTTATTTACCAGAATAGCCAGCAATTGTCAGAGGATGTTAGCGATCCTAGCTCCCCCCTCAGCCAAGCTTTTACATTGCACTATATCTTCAGAGGCCAGACTTTTCTTCAGGATGTCCAAGGCCAAGCTAACATGAGACCTGCATTAACTACTGTCTTAGTTATTTTTTACTTGTTTCTGAGACAAAATACGTGAAGCCCAAGTTGAGAAAGGAAAGGTTTATTTCTTCATTTTTTGGAGGTTTCAGTCCACACTCAGTTGGCTCCAAGGCAGGTGTACATGGCTGGGCCACATTTCATGGCAGCAGCAAACAGCAAGCAGGAACCAGCAAAAACCAAGACACACATTTTTCCTGCCATTATATTACATTCTGGCTCCACCCCTATGTGGGTGTAGCACTAACACCATCAATCCACATACTACACAATGAACCATCACAAATGCATAATGCAAACTCATGAAGCCTGGCGGACACAGGCATAAACCATGACATTCCACCCCTGGCCCCCAGGACTCATGTATATCCATTATACAAAAGGCATTTAGTCCACTTCCAAGAGTTGACAACGTCCTATGTTTCAGCATTCCTGAACAGTCCAATTCCCAAGTCTCCTCCAAGATCTAAGGCAAACTCTTAACTGTAATCCCTGTACAAATCAAACAAGGTTAAACGTTTCTCAAATGCAAAGGCACAAGGTAAACATTACCATTCCAAAAGTTACAAGAATGGGAATATAAAGTACTGGAAACAAAAGAAGTCCAGCATGGTGAACATTAAGTCCTAGAATTCCATGTTCAGCATCAGAAGCAATCTGGTTCCAAACTCCAAAAGGCTTGGGTAATTCCACCCCCATGGCATTTCCAGCAATTTTAACTCCAACAGCTTTTCTCTTAAATCCTCTCTGCTCTCTTTTTGCAGCTTCCCTTGAATCAACCACATTCTTGCCTTTTCCAAACATCTGCAGTCTCCACCGCACCTTTGGTTTCACCCTTACGTCTTCACAAATTGCCCTCTCAGGGGCACACCTTTTGGCCTCCCAGGCACTTTGCAATTGAGGTGGATGCCATCTTGCCTCAGAATTTGTGCATTTTCCTTGCACCTAAAATCGGCACCTTGTGGATGCCACCAAGGTTTGCTGCTGACTGGAGCAGTACCTATACTTTTCTGCCTATTGGCTATAGGGGTTAGTTGCCTGGATTGCAGTGCTCTGTTTACATGATTGTGAGGAAAAGCTTCTCAAAGGGGCCATCATTCTGGAACCTCAAGTGGCTTCTGTTGACATTCTACAACATGGCATTCTGCAGCTTTTCCCTCTGAGCAAATTCTTTCACTTTTGCAGTGAGGCTGCACAGGGTGGGGACCCCCTTCCTATGATGCCGTGGGCCATCTTTCTTATCTCTCTGTTTCTCCTCAGGAATCAAAATCTCAACTCTGTCTTTGCAATCCACAGTCTTCCTGGAATTTTCCTTCTGGCCAAACTCACAGCATTGTACACTATCCTGCTGATCTCTTTGCTTTAGAAATGCAACATAAATCTGGCTAAAAGCCCCCAACAATAGCCATGCCACAGCCTCAAGGTTTGATTGCTTTTTAGTTTCTTTACCAAGATTAATCAGTCCATTGCCCTTTGTCTCAGTCTCAGCAAAGTCTCTGGGCAGTAGCAAAATGCAGACAAACCTTCTGCCAAGCCATAACACACACATTGTCGAGTCCAACAACCAATGCAGTCCTTCTTCCCAACAGAAAACTCCCAAGCCTGGTTTTTATCATCAAGCCTTCTATCAGCCTTCTGGTCTCCTGAGGTCTGACCAGAATCCCCTCTACAGAACAGCCTAAGCTGCTCCAGCTCTACGCATCCAGGTGACATGTCCAAACCTTTCCAAACTCTGCCCACAAGCCATTTCCAAAGCCTCTCGAAAAACATGGTCAAGAATAGTCACAGCAAAAGACCCCACTCCTAGGTACCAAATTCTGTCTTAATTACTTTTTACTTGTTGCTGAGACAAAATACCTGAAGCCCAATTTCAGAAAGGAAAGATTTATTTCTTACAGTTTTTGCAGGTTTCAGTTCACACTCCGTTGGCTCCAAGGCAGGCAGGTATGGCTGGGCCACAGTTCATGGAGGCTGCAAAAAGCACACAGGAACCAGCTAAAAGCAAGATACACCTTCTTCCTGCCATTGAATTACATACTGGCTCCACCCAATGTGGGTTTAGGACTGACACCATCAATCCGAACACTAGACAACGAACCATCATAAATGCACAATGCAAACTCATGAGGCCTGGGGGACACAGGCATAAACCATGACATTCCACCCCTGGCCCCCACGACTCATATACATCCATTATGCAAAAGACATTTAGTCCACCTCCAAGAGTTGCCAAAAGACCTTCCTATCAAGGTCACTTAGGTCTTCTCAGGAGTTATCTTAGAACCATGCATAACACCTCATGGCTCTTCTGTCAGTGTCTGCCACTTAGAAGAGTCACAATCATTGCTTCACCACGTTGCTCTCTGTGAAAGCTTGGGAGATTTTTCTCCTGTGACTCTTCTTAGGCACACCTTGCATTGAAGGTGACTTTCCTCTGTGGTTTCATCATATCCTTGATGAGACAACTAGGGACTCACTGGATATCTTAGGATGATGCAATCAGAGGTTATTTTATATCCTGGGTCTCCACCACCCTTGAAGGGCTGGGGCCAAAATATTGGCTATCCATTTAGCCCATCTGTTTCTCTACGTTTTGGCTTCCAAACCTTAGCTGTCAAACATCCAAAAGAAGTTTTTCATAACAATACAGTATATTACAGGCAGTAAGTGTAATATTACTCTTTTATCTAAACATGAAACATCTTAGAACATTAAATGAATCCTATTGTCTTCAATCCATGGACATTTTAGCATTTGAATACCTACAGTATTAACAGTTGCATATTTTACATAATATATCAGGAATCAGAAGCGTACATAGTATTGCATCATGACAATCTCGAAATTCTTGTAATAATCTAAATTCTTGTTTGACATAAATTATCCCTTTTAGTCAATCACCCTTATCTAATACAAAAGAAGTTTGTTGTATATTATTGAAAAACTTATTGATCTTTAGTTGAATGTGAATCTCACAAGTCTTTGTGAGCAGCAAAGGTGTGCACATGAGACAAAAATCTGTTACCATAAGTAATCCCCATTTTACAATCATGGAGTCTTACGCATCCAGAATTATGAATATATGCAATACATCATATAGTTGATTAAAATCAACTGTCATAACCATGTGAAACCTTTATACAGGCATCATCAAACCAAAAATATGTATTATTTCATTTGATAATGACCAATGTGAACATTTAGGAATAAATTTCATAAATTTATTTGAGGTGTCTCCTATAGTGATCTGGAGATCATTGAGGTCTCTAATCAATGGATAAAAACTGGTTAAAAATGTTAGCAGACAGCTGCTTTCTTATTTATCAATCAGAGCTTGGTCCACCAATCTAACTGCTAAGGGACTTTATTTATTTATATTTTTAAATTTATTTTTATTTAAAGAAAGACAAAACAAAACAGAAAGCAGGCATAAATAATACATACATTCAAATTAAAGAATAAACAGTAATAAGTCACTACTTTGTGTGTTTTATTGTCCTCTTTCAAATAATTGTTCAAGATACAAAAGTGGACCATATAAATGGGAATTCAAACAGGGAGACTTCAAGTAGTTCTGTTCAACTATCTAATAAAAACTAAGTAATATGGCAGTCAATCCTATACACTTAATCATGTATGTATTTATCCATATCTTCGTTTATGTTGAGTTTAAACAAAGCAAAGAAGATTAAAATCACTCTAGTTGAAGATTAATAGTATTGCTTGATTTCACATCATGACACGATGGAACCAGCCCTGGGTACTGTAGCCCCCTTTTTTCTCCTTCAAAGTATTTGTTCATTTCATCATGTATCATAAAATCAGTTCTTCTAAATTATTGATAGGTTTTATGGAAGCATGCATCTTAACATGTGTTACTATTCTTTCTATATTAGAGGGAGAACCAGAACAAAGCAGGACAGAGCAAAACATAATCCTAGAGATACATAAAACTAAAAAGACATATAAAACTGCTGTACAGGGAGTTCTACCATGGTTACTGTGTTGTCTCTTGTTATCATCAATAAAAATAGCTATATCATCGGATAAAGTATAATTGAATATATCACTGCATAACAGTATTAACAGAAATAGAACTTTGTAGATAGTGTAGAGCTACTAAAACAGATATTAATCAAGTCAGAATGGGTAATATAGAGAGTCATTTCTATTTTCAGTATAATTGTCTACACTCTGACGATACTATCAACCTAACGGTTTTGAATAAATAGTCAGTAACAAGAAGCAATCAAACAAATCAGATTTAAATAAATTCAGCAATGATATAACAGTATAAGTTATAGAGGAATCTGGTTTAAGTTAACAGGAAATTGAAGATGATTAATGTGGTATATCCTGATATTTTTGGGATAGCTGTCTGTGCCCTCAGATTTAGTGCTTGTATAAAAACTGGGATGGAATAAGTTCTATCTAAACAGAGTGGTACAAGTAATACGGGTTTTAATTCCTGATACACTTATAGCAATATCTTCTTCTGTCTTTTTAAAGTCTATTCTTCCCCTTCACTCCCCCAGGATGTACTGTGTATTTTTGGGTCTCCCCAACACCCTTGGTTTTATATTGTGTGGGCAACCTGCAATTTATCTAAGTGTTTCTGAACTTTCTCACTCCAGGACTTGATCTCTAGTTATATTTCTTTACTTATTAAAGCCTTTCTTTCCAACCTACCCATAAATACTGGTCCAGTTGCCCCTATTACTCTCTCATTCCCTATCACATCGAGTTCTATGTTCTCATATTCAATTTTGGTCCAAATACCCTTCTTCAGGTCAATTATACTTCCTATAAAGAGCATCTCAGTTGGCCCTATTTCTTGATCCACTCTGCCTGTGATTCTCTCTTTTTTTCCTTAATTTAGTGTATATAGGACATCTGCATTAGAAATTATATCGAACCTTCTCTGTCTCATTTCTGTTGTTCTATTTTTCTGTCATCAGTTGTCTATTTGTCTTCTTCACTTTGTTCATTTTGTTAATTGGCTCTAAATACGCTGTAATTTTTTCATTCTCTTGAATGGCTTCACACTGTCTTGATATGATTGATTCTATAGTATAGGAAGTTATACTCAAACAATTCAAGGAAAGAGGCACTATGGTGACTACTATTATGTTAGATTATCTGGTGGTAAAACAAAATGATGCTTTAATTGTTCTGTTCTGACCTGTGTTGTTCTATTACAATGTCTCTTCTATCTCGATCTCCACCCTTTTTAAAAAAAAAAATTCTATTTTTTTAAAGGAAAACTAAATTAAAAAATTGAGGGATATATTATAGAAACTGTTTTGTTTTCCTACTAACCTGATTTTTAACCCCAGTATTGCTCTCCCCGTCTTGTTCTGCCTGATTTTACTATATTCTATTTTGTTTGATAGTATCACGTTTGAGGGTATAGGCAACCACGTTGTAGGCAATAAGATTTACTATGATGCCCATTATGGCTTGACTATTATCCTCTTTTGAAATCCTATAAGGTCTTCAGTGTAGATTTTATTGGTCTTGTTCTGTACTGTTTTGATCAATTCTATTATACCTGATGATATAGCAATTCTTTTTAAAAATAGCAAAAGGCACAATGGTAAACATTTTTGATCAGCTGATATTCTATTTTTGCATCAAGTACTATGCCCATCATTATGTTCTAACCAACTCTGTTTTGTAAACTCACTTGAGGTTTTATTCTCTTCAAAAAAAGTAATAAGAAATATGGGAGTAAAAAAACCTCAAAAGTGTAATTGTTATTGTGAAGAAGACAGGAAAGGAAGGTGGTCTAAGAGATATAAGTGCCTGTTTAAGTGTGTAGGGAGAAAAACATATTACTGAGCTTTGTTGGATCACTGAACGGAACTCTCTGCAATCACACTGTAGGAATGTTTACTTTATATGCTTTAATTTTATAATTTGAACAATTGTTTCTAAGAAGGTAACCTATTAACTAGTGATTTCTTACTGTATTTTTCTCTTGAAATTGTGCATGATTTGTACCCTTTACTGCTTTGTTTCTTATGTTCTTTTTTTCTCTTTAAAAAAATTAAACTGGAATTTATATCTTTTATTTATTTTTTGGTACTGGGGATCAAACGGATTACTTTACACTTGCCAGGCAGGAACTTAAGCCACTGAGCTAAATCCCCAGCCACCCAATATATATCTTTCACATCTTATCATCTTCAGAGGAGTGGCCTCTCTACTCTTGGACTTGATGCCAGCAAGCATAAAAAATGTGAATAAAATCAGTCAAGGCCAAATAACATTCAAACAAACCAGCTTCCAATAAGATCAGTCATAGTAAGACAATGTAAGTAATACAGGGTTTCAGTTTCAGTTAATAGGAAATTAAGGACAGTTACCATCATGGTTTAACCTGCTATTTTTGGGTTACATCTTTGTGCCCTCAAATCTATTATGAGTACACAGACCAGAACAAAATATAATCAAAATAAACAGAGCAACAGAACTACTATAGCTTTTAAATCCTGATACACTTTTAACAATGTCCTCTGCCTTCTTTTTTTAGGCAATTCCTCACCTTTCTCCTTCTCAGGATACTATTATTCACTGTTCAGAGTATATTAGTTTAGTCTCTTATGTTCAGTTTCAGCATACATTAAAATAAAGACATCTACTACGAAGAGAATGAGACACATTATGGTAATCATCAACTTCCCCAAAATCAGTCTTGAAGATCAAAAAAGCCTGCATCATCCTGTAATTATTTGATTAGTTCTATAATGTTAAGTATATATTCAATGCTTGTGAAGATGGGAACAACTATTTGGAAAAAAACTAGAGACAGTAAGATAGACAATGAACATCTCAGTGGACTTGCTTTGAAACCTGTGTTTCCTTAACTTGTTTCCTTATGAACTGTTCTGTTTTGTTTTGTCATGTTTAATCTTACGATCTTTAAGATAAAAAACAAGTTTGTAGAACATATAAGCATATTAATATGTTTTTGTTGGATCACTGAGGTAAAATGTTCGCAGTGTCATTATTTGAGTATCACATTCTATGCTTAATTTTGTAACTTGAACAATTACTTCTAAGATGACAATATGTAACAAATCAACAAGTGAATTCTTATTGTTTATTTTTCAGAAATTCTGTATTATTTCTATACATTTTTGGTTTTTTTTTAATAAAAATAATTCACCAAAAATATAAAATTAAGTTTTAAAGACAAAATATTAAGTACATAGACACTATCCATACTTGAAAGTGAAAAGCCTATTTCATTTACCATGTTTAATTACAAGATGCCATGTTGAAGCACAAAGACACATTAAAAAATAAAGAGATATAAGTGATTAACTGAAAACCATACAAAATGTGTACTTGAGTAGAGCTCCACTTCAGATTTGTTGTTTCTGGAAAATTTGTGAAGAAATATTGACATCAAACTACTGTATTGATTATTTCTTCAGGTCTTCTTGGAACTTTTAAAGTAAACTTAGATCTAAACTGTCTGAAGAGTGCTGCTTCTTCTATGTATTTAACAATAAACATGGATTGCCGTATTTCTCACACTGTTAATACACATAGGATCCAGTGAGCTCTTTCAGATATGTAACAGTGATCAGGTGTGCTGAGTATTCACATAACATATAGGATTTATCTCTTGTGTGATTTTCTTCATGTATTTCACTTACAATCTGGCTGCTGAAAATGTCTCCACTTGCTTACGTAGCCATCCCAGTGTGAACTGTTTCATGTGTTTTGCAATGACTGTGTGTGTTAAAAGCTTTGCCACATTGTTATATGCATTGGGTTTCTCACCAGTGTGGAGTCATTGATGTATTTTACAAAATCCATGTGTGGTGAAAGCTTTCCCACATTCTTCACATAAACAGGGTTTCTCAACAGTGTAAATTTTTTCATTTATTGGACAATGAGCATTTCTGCTGAAACTTTCCCAAATTCAGTACATATATAAGATTTATGCCGAGTGTGAAGCTTTTCATGCATTATGCAATATGTACTTGTGCTCAAAAAATTCTCATGATGCTTATATAAACTGGTTTTAACTTGAGTGTGAACTTTCATGTTGCTTACAATGTCCACATTGGGTAAAAGCTTTCATATATAGGCTTTACATATATAGGGTTTCTCTCCAGTGTGAACTCTTTCATGTTGCTTACAATGTCTATATAGGGTAAAAGCTTTCCCACATTTCTTACATACATATGGTTTCTGGTCAGTGTGAATTCTTTCATGTTCCCTACACTGTCGATGTGTGTTAAAAGCTTTCCCACATTGCTTACATACATAGGGTTTCTCTCCAGTGTGAATTCTTTCATGTTCCTTACAATATCTATGTGTGGTAAAAGCTTTCCCACATTGCTTACATACATAGGGTTTCTCTCCAGTGTGAATTCTTTCATGTCTTTTACAATCTGCCTGTGTGTTAAAAGCTTTCCCACATTGCTTACATATATAGGGTTTCTCTCCAGTGTGAATTCTTTCATGTCGCTTACAATGTCTATGTCGGGTAAAAGCTTTCCCACATTGCTTACATACATATGGTTTCTCACCAGTGTGAATTCTTTCATGTTCCTTACACTGTCTGTATCTGTTAAAACCTTTCCCACATTGCTTACATACATAGGGTTTCTCTCCAGTGTGAATTCTTTCATGCTTCTTAAAATATCCCCGTGTGTTAAAAGCTTTCCCACATTGCTTACATACATACAGTTTCTCTCCAGTGTGAATTATTTCATGTTGCTTACAATTTCCATATTGGGTAAAACCTTTCCCACATTGCTTACATACATAGGGTTTCTCTGCAGTGTGAATTCTTCCATGTATTTTACAATTTGCCCGTGTGTTAAAAGCTTTCCCACATTTCTTACATACATATGGTTTCACTCCAGTGTGAATTATTTCATGTCGCTTACAATGTCCAGATTTGGTGAACCCTTTTCCACATTGCTGACATACATAGGATTTCTCCTCACTGCTATATTTTTCATGGATCTGAACATTGTGGTGTGTTTCTGCTTCTTTCACATTCACATTACCGTCTGCAGTACAAAGGAACACTTCTTTACACTGATTCCAAGATGTATGTCCATAGGATTGCCCTAGCTTGTCATTTCTGTCAAAAAAAATCACATATCAGATTGATAACCATATTACTAAGTTTTTATTGGAGATTTGAACAAAATTTTTTGCAGTCTCGCTGTTTGAATCCCCACTTCATATGCTTCACTTTTGTATTTCATTATTTCTCTGAGCAGCATATGTAATCATTGTCTTTAGATTTCTGTTTATTTTCACTTTGAGAGTGGTATCATTTCTACTTATTTTGTTTTTTTTTTTAGTTTTTCCTTACATTAAATAAAAAAATAAGAAACATTCACAGTGAAATGGGTCTCAGTTTAATGACTGCATTAATGTCAAGTTTTGTTTTTAATGCCTGCTAAGAAATTCTGACCACGAAATAACAGAATGGCCTTGTAAGACATGTTGAAAACAACCATTCCCAAAAGAATGCTACACATTTGGAAATCTTAAAATTTGATACCTTTTGAAATGCAGAATCCTTATCTTGACTTTGGGCATGGGTACATATGTGTATCACATACAGATCATTCTGATATGTTTGCCCATCACAATCTCCCTTCTGTCCTTAACCTGTAGTTCCCTTTTCCATATGGTCAGTCTTACTTTTCTCTATTAACTCTTTCATTTCATTCCACAATTTATATTTTGGTTTCTCATCTAAAAGAAACCCTGTGAACTTTTAGGTTTTATAGCTGAGCTATTTCACCAAATTGTTGGGACAAAAAACCACCTATTTCTTATGGCAAATGACATTATATAATTTATTTTTTGTCATTATATAACACATTTTTTTCTTTTCCATGGTGGGAATGAACAACAGCTTTTAGCATAAAATCTATAGCTTTTTAAATCTGTTTTAAGACATTTTCGCTGATAATTAAGCTGTGAAGTTAGAACTTGAATTTGCCATTCTGCAAAATCTGATTTCTTGTGTGCTGGATTTATAGGTATGCACAATCACAGAGAGTCTATTAATATTTTCCTTCTCCACAAATCCAGTGATAGATAACTAAGCTTCTTAAAGGCCTGATCTATTATAACTTGATCTGCTTTGTATATGAGCAAGCATGTATCAGTATTTTAAGTGCATTTTGAATTTTTAAAATATATCCAGAACAAGTATGAGGGGATCAATTTCTAGAGACAACTGCACACTGATATTCAGAATGAGTGCACTTAACATTCTAGCAGCCTTCTAAGAATTTTAGTCAGAATGGCTGATTCTTCAGAGCATGGCTTGGAAACACAAGAACTGCATTTTATTTCAAATTCTATTGCAATCTTAGCAATTTTTAGATGATGAATGTGTTGTATTCACATGTATATATGAGTAGAAAAACTGAAGAGAGAATGTCATAACTCAAAGTGTATGCCTTTCATACACATCTATATGCAATGTCATACATTTTCTTGATTTAATCCACTCATTATACATACCCTAGCTTATACGTCTTCAGAGAATATTACTGACATAAATTGAATATTGCCTCATTTCTTTGGCGGCATTTTTCTGCTGACTCACTAATTACTCAGGAACATTCCTTCTTCTTATGAGTGCAAATTACCTTAAGTATCTCCAGTAAATTTTGCATTCTTTTTCAGCTTCCTGGATATCCCCAAGTCCTCCTGAATTGTAGATATAGAAATACCAGTGCTCATTAGAATAATACATACAAATTAATAGATTTTGTTTAGAGTTATGATATAATGTGTCCAGGTCTGAGCTATTTTTAAAAATATTTTCACATTGTTTTTAATGAAACAGCACTGATGCGTGACATACAACATTCTGACAGCATGAGTGACAAAAGTATTTTGTCCTTACCTATTGCAGTCATGTTCCTAAAGATTTCGCCCATCACATCTCTGTAGAGGTTCTTTTGGGATGGACTCAGCAAAGTCCACTCCTCATTGCTGAAGTTCACGACCACATCCTCAAAGGTCACCACCTCCTAAAGGATCAATAATACATATACTTCTCACAGGAAGGTTGAGACACCAGGTTTGGGATATCTTAAATTCTCTCCTACAAATCTGAATCAAAAGCAAAGTGTGGTGATATATATCTATAATTCCAGCACTCAAAATGCTGAGGCAGGATGGTTTCAGTGAGTTCAGGGCAATTCTAGCCTCCATAGGGTGTTCAAATCCAGCTGATATACATATAGAAAGCTTGTCTCAATAAAACAAAACAAAACTAAACAAATACAACCAAGCAAAACAGCTGAATGAAGACTGATTTCTTCAAATTTAAATCATGTCTTGGTCATTAATTTTGTGTATATACACATTTTTGAAGACAGCAAATTTGATGATAGATTGCAACTCACTGCTAATGTAAGAGTGAAATAGGAGCACTGATTCTTGTGCTGAGTCACTGCAATAGTCCCTGTGTTCTGTCTCTAATGTAGAGCTCACAGTGAAAAGCCTGTAGGACCAGCATCCACAAAGCACAGAGGCAGATAAATATCCCATCAATCAACTGGGAAGCCAAGCAAGCACCACTTCTCCCTGGTAAGCAATGGCGGTCTGGCAGAATGTGGCCCTTCCAGGGGGAGAAACAGCAGCAGCTCCTGAGACCCACACCATGTGGGATCTTAGGATGCTGTGAAACCAAACAACTGGCCTGTCTCCCTACTAAGCAATAGTGAACCTACAGATGCACGGCCTAGAATCAAACATCCCACTTCCCTACCCCTCTTCTCCTGTCACCCCCCCTCCCCCGTTAGCAAATGGGAAACAGAAATCTGAGAGTCTCCTGGGAAGCAGACCATAACAAATAAGGGGGATTTCCTTCTACTATCTCTTTGAAGGCAAATATATTTGTTGCTGTTTTGCTCTATTCTGAGTAATAGTATTGCTCTATTCAATATTTTTTGATAAGTACTATAATGTTCTGTATTTCATCTCATTTTGATATATGTGTTTGAATGAACAACCATTGGGGCTGGGGATTTAGCTCTGCGGCATAACCATCTGCCTCGCAAGCAGTCATAGGTTCGATCCTCGGTACCGATAAAAAGGAAAAAAAAAAAAAAAGAAAGAACAACTATTATAAAGATAATAAAATATACTGTGCTACCTATTATTGTTATCGCAGTAACCAGTTGTAAAGTTGTATACCAATTTCACTATATGATCTTAGTTGGCCTTATTCTTCCTTGTTCTGTTGTATTTTACCACTTTCAAAATTTAAAAAAAGAAAAAAAATCTCATCAATCACTGTGATAGGCTGCAGATAATGTCTCTTCTAATCTCATTTAGGCCAGTGAGTACTTTGTTCTTAATATACTTCAGGAGCATTTTGAAACATGACTTTGGTTGCATAGAACAAAACATAAATAACATCCAATATGGTACACAAATAATAAATGTTAGTGGAAAATGCTGTTTTTAAAAAATAACTATATAAAATGGAAACAGGCCCAAGCTGTAATTTATAGCTCACCGTCACCAAGCATTCACTATCAATTCAGATATAAGGAATATATCTTGTGAGGCTGGTGAAGGACTTCTTCCTTGAATTTGGCGCTACCCTAAGTTACAGAGCTGTCTAACATAGAGAAACCCTGACTGTGACACCCCACAAACAAAGTGAAACTTGAAAAGAGACTGCGTAAGACACCTTCGATTTGTTTTTAAAAATTATACCCATACAATATGCAAAAATTCCAAAAATATTCAACACTTTCTGAGAAACAATGTGGATATCTGCCATACAACAAAGAAAACACTTGCATAGTTGGGTATTTAGCTCAGTGGCATGAACACCTGCCTGGAAAGCATAGGTCAGGAGTTTGATTCTTGGTACAAAAAAAATCCACATTTTACCTTCATTACACTAGGGCATAATTAGAGATAATCAAAATTAGATCTCAAGTGTGGAATAGAAAATGCATGGGTTGACAAGGATGTGAAACACTGATTTTTGCCAGAGCTGGTGTTGATCACATCAAGGAAGCAATCAGAACCCAACTTTAACTTCACACTTACTCTAAGAACTACCTGAATTTCAGTGAAGACCCTCTCTGTTGCATGTCCTGCTATTGGCTTCCTGCATTCTGTCAGTGACTTGCACATCCTTTCCACGCTCCTCTGATCCATGCAATGTTCATCTATATTCGTATCCTACATTACATATAAAAGAGTATTAAGTCATCCATTTCCACTCACCTATTCAAGAAAATACCAACTATTTATTCTTAAGTGAATTGAACAGGAGAGAAGTAATATTGAATGGAACACTATAAATAATGCAGTGGAAAATAAAAGGGAAAAACCACACAGGCATCCCTCCCAGGATGAGAGGTCTGCCATTGACCAGCTCCTCTCTCCTGTCCTCACTTGATGTGCAGGCCTGTGTCTCTTCACTGCTGGGTGGAGAGAGAACCAGGACACAAGCTCTCTTCAATCTCAGGAAAGATCAGGGACATGGCCTACTTTCAGCATTTTCAGTGGCTGCCATTTATAAAAAACTCAGCAATTGTGCTGTGGAACATTCATGGTTCCTAACTGTCCACACCTTAACTGATTAAGAAGAGAATATGGTGTCTATCAAACTCATTTTTTAAAATGAACCTTAAAGTGGAATTTCCAGGTTAAATGTATATAAGATGAATTTGAGGATCGCAGATATTTCACCTGAAGCCTCAGCATAGAGCTAGAGCCTGGTATAGGAAGACTGAGTCTGCTCAGATCTACGTGGAGATGTAAAGTCAGAGAGATGGTCCAGGCAGAGGTGCAGGACACCATGGCACCTAGCAGGAACCATGGCTAAAAAAGGCCCAGTCCAGGCTGCCTCATCCATCAGTGAGTTCTAAGGAAAGCGTCACACATTCCACACTGGAAAGGAAAAAGCTGAAATGGTTCTAGAGCTCCTTCCTACATGCCTAAGGCCCCCTGTCTCACTCAGGGGAGCTCTGCATGAGAAGGTCAGTCTGTTACAGAGCTCAAATTGACTGAATATTTTCCACCCAGGTGCAGATCTGAACTGCCACATGTGGACTCACCATAGCTATGGAACAGGACAGGTGTTTACAGGGTGCAGGTGAGGTGATGGAGGCACTGCAGGCAGGTCAGGGTACAAAGCCTTAAATAAGAGACCAGGCCCTCACCAGCCCCACTTTCCTCCAGCAGTAACCAAACCCTGCAAGAGTGTGCATTAAAAACTGAGTAACTAAAAGGAGTTACTCACAAAATTATATATTATGGAGATAGTTTGAATATACAAAAGTAAATGGTAACATCCATAAATAAAATGAGATGTGACCCTTAAAGGATATGTGGTGTCCATTGATGTCCCCAAACTACACGCATCAGAAGGAAACAGTCTGATGAACAGAGCAATAAGGAGCACAGGCAATGGGTAAACATCACAGCTGCTTAATAACAACAACAAAGCTAGGATACAATAAGTGCACTGGTGAATTTTATCCAGGATGTGGTAAAGAATGAATACTGATTGTTTTTCAATTCTCCCATCAAGTTGAAGAAAAAACCACCACCAACTTCTTTTAAGTGACAAGTCATCCTGAGAATGAAGCCAGATAATAATGTGTTAAAAATAAAATAAATGAAAATGCTCTGTTGGCTAATATTCCTAACGAACATACACAAAAGTATTCAGCTAAATGTTTGCCACATTAACTCACCATCATATTCAAAATTAACCAACACGATCAACACTGGGCTCAATCTCAGTGGTGCAAGAATGTTCCCTCTCACGCACAAACTAGTAAGTGTTGCTTCACACTTTCACAGCATAAGGTACAGCTAACCCCTGAAGAGATTTGGAAAGACAGCTTTGAGAACCTCAAAAGTTCACCATTTTTTCATGATATAAATCATTCATAGACTATCAGTAGGAGGAATGGACCTCAGCACAGCATGACAAGCTCCATCCTTGACATGGTGCTCAGGTGCTGACAAGCTGCAAGCTTAGCTTCTAGGGTCAGAAAGCAGACAAGGCTTGCAACTCTTTTCACCATACAGTACTCGAAGTCCTGGCCATAGAATTTAATCCAGAAAGAGAAAGCAAAGCCTTCCAAATCAGAAAGGAAGAATTAATTGTTGTTACAGTTCTCCTGAGGGTGCAGCATTGTATATAAGAAATTTAAACTACATTGACAACCTTATAGAACTAATTCACAAATCACTTAAATTGCAGGACACATGAGCAAATTGCTCTAATCAATTTATTACTACCTACTACAAACAAATTGTAGCGTCAAATACAAAGAACACAATTCAATTCACAAATAATCAAAAATAACTAAAGATTAGGGAAACTGAAGCAAACTCACATCTTCTTGGAATGCAATAAGTAGAAGAGCACTAACAGAAGAAAAGCCATACTGTGATGAGTGATGGGAAGAATTCATGTTATAATGTACATGCTACCCAGAGCAACCAGGTGTTTCAGTGCCATTCCTGTCAAAGTATCAGTGCCATTTTCCTAGAAACATTAAAAAAATTGAAATTCACAAGGAAGTACAAAGAGTCTTCCTATAGCCATAGAAAGAACATTAAAAGTAGAGGCATCAAAATACTAGTTTCCAGGTATTATAAAGTAACAGTAGTTAAAAGGGTTTTACACTGGAAGAAAAGGACCACAGACTAAAACAGCTTGCCCAGATGCACACCAAGTGACAAAATCACTAGGAATTTTGTTTCTTCTTTCCTTTCTTTTCTTCCCTATTTTTTCATTTTCATTTTATATTCAGGGTCTTGCTGTGTCATTGGAGCCTGAGCTGAACTCAGAATATGTTGCAGGCTTGTCTGGAACTCCAGGAACCCTGCTGCCTCAGCCACTTGAGTACAGGCATTACAGGCATTTTCACCATTCCTTGCTCAGCCAGTAAGTTTTTTTTTATTTGAAGAGAAAGACAAAAATAAATGAAGCAAGACAGTAAAAGGCTAGAAGCAACACAGAATTTCAAGAGAAAAAAACATA